CGCTGAGCTGGAGCCCATCCAGGAGGAGGACGTGCTCACCATCTCCCTGGGCACCCACTGACCCCCCAGCTCCCCCCCGGGCCCTCCCGGGCTCCGCCGCCGTCCCCCCTCCCGCTGCCTCCTGCCCTGGGAAGGGGCCGCTCCTGCTGCTGTCCTGGCGCCACCGGTGCCACTGCAGGGGATGGAGTTTGTCGAGTCCTCTCCGTTTCATCTTGGTTTGGTCATTTTATGGGTGGCTTTTTTTGTCTTTTTCTGTTGTTTTTAACTGGTGTCTCCTTGCTGGCTTGGGCCCTGCTGGGCTTGATGGCACAAGGTGACACAGGGGAGGGCACAGCCAGGGGTTCCTGGATTTACCTCCCAAGCTGAGGACACGGTGACAAGTCGGGGGTGCTGGGTGCTGGCGTGGTGACAGTGTGGGAGTCCCAGCCCAGCCCCACCTGGGTCCTGATGCTCTTTAACCCTGGTGCCCTCTCAGCCTCTTCTTCCACCCTGTGGGGACAACCAAAGGAACCCAGGCCTGAGGTCTCTGCTGTCGGTGGGGACGCAGTGGCCCAGAGGACAGGGGGATGGTGCCTCCTCATCACCACAGGGAGGAAGGCAAGGGGTGGGATGGAGAATGTTGCATCCTCACCACCTCAGGGACGAAGGGAAAGGGGACCAGGTGACAAGTGTCCCTGTCCCCAGCACTCCCAGGAGATGTTTGTTTTTGGCCCAGATCGGGCTGGACCAGGCTTCTCCCATCCCGGTGGGGCAGTACCCCCTCTATCCCTGCAGTCTCCCATCCCAGTGCTGCTCGTCTGCATCTGGAGCCGGCATTCCCGGGAAAACCTAATGGCGACTAGCAAAACAACAAACTTCCGAGAAAAAAAAACCTAGCCAAGCATGATAAATAAAAGTATTTAAGTAAAACACTGGAACTGAAAGTGAGGGGAGGGAGGGGGCGCAGCCCCAGAGGGAAACTGAGGCACGGAAGGGGGTTGTGTGTCCCCTCATGGCTTGGGGTTTGGGGGTCCCCAGGTGAGGTGGGAGGATCCGGGGGCGGATTCCGAGCGGCGGTGGCAGCACCAGCGCTGGCGGAATGCCCTGGCACCCTGCCCACGGCGCTGACGCCAGCGGGAGGGCACAGGGGAGGTCCTGCCCCGGTCCGTCCCGGTCCTGCCCCGGTCCGTCCCGGTCCGTCCCGGTCCGTGTTCTCGCAGAGCCTCACCGTGTCGCCATGGTGGTCACGCTGGGGTACTGGGACATCCGTGGGGTGAGTGGGACCGAGGGGTGCCAGGGGCACGCTGGGGACGGGGGTGGGCGCGGGTTTGGGGGTGCTGGGGGGTCCCGGGGTGTGGGGGAGAGGTCCGGGGGGGCTTTGGGGTGCCAAAAGCGGGTGCTGTGCCCCCAGCTGGCCCACGCTATCCGCCTGCTGCTGGAGTACACGGACACGCCCTACCAGGAGCGCCAGTACCGCCCTGGCCCAGGTGAGGGGGGCAAGGGGGTGGGACCCCAAATCCCACCGTCCCCCCGCCCCTCGTTCCTGCCGTGTCAGAAAGGGGGCGACGCCCCCACTTCGCAGCGTGTCCCGCCGCCCCAGCCTCCCCTGCCAGCTCGGGGGGTCACCTTTGTCCCCCCCATTCACCCCCCCCAAGTAAAAGGGACCTTGACCCCTCTCAGGGGCAACGTTCTCCCTTATCTGTCCCGGAGGGGTCACGGCTGCCCCGGGCGGGGGGGGGGCACCCCCAGTGCATCCCCCCATTGCTGTGGGTGCCACAAGTGGGGCAGGAACCCCCCCAAATCTCTCTGCCCCCCCAGCCCCTGACTATGACCCGAGCGACTGGACCAACGAGAAGGAGAAACTGGGGCTCGACTTCCCCAACGTAGGTGATGGAGGGGTGGGAGGGGTGGGGGGGTTGGGGGTCTCCGGGCTGACCGCACCCCCGGCACCCCCAGCTCCCGTACCTCATCGACGGCCCCACCAAGCTGACGCAGAGCAACGCCATCCTGCGCTACATCGCCCGCAAGCACAACATGTGTGAGTGGGGGTCCCCGCGCCCGGGGGGGGGGTCCCCGGGGTTTTTGGGGGGTGGGTTGACACCTCCCCACCCCGCAGGCGGTGAGACGGAGGAGGAGAAGCAGCGCGTGGATCTCCTGGAAAACCAGCTCATGGATTTGAGGATGAATTTCGCCCGGCTCTGCTACAGCCCCGACTTTGTGAGTGCCCCCGTGGGGGTCACGGGGGGATGGATCCCCCCGAGCCCCCGGGGCTGATCCCCCCGTGGGACACGCCAGCAGCAGCACGGGGCGCATCCCTCAGCTGGCTGCAGTCGGGGTGATGCCCCGGGGTCCTGGGGGGAGCAGCACCCCCGAACTGTGCCCTCTCCGCCGTGCAGGAGAAGCTGAAGCCGGCGTACCTGGAGCAGCTGCCGCAGAAGCTGCAGGAGCTGTCGAGGTTCCTGGGCTCCCGGCCCTGGTTCGCAGGGCAGAAGGTAAGTGGGGACGCTGGGGGGTTTTGGGGAGTCCCTGTGGGCTCTGACCCCCCCTGCGCCTCCCCCAGCTCACCTTCGTGGACTTCCTGGCCTACGACGTGCTGGACCAGCAGCGCATGTTCGTGCCCGAATGTCCCGAGCTGCGGGGAAACCTGGCCCAGTTCCTGCAGCGCTTCGAGGTGAGCAGGGCAGGGCACAGCCCGGGGCCACCGCCGTGTCCCGGCCCCACCTGCACCCCGCTGTCCCCACCCGCCACCCCCCGTGCCCGTCACCGTCCCCGACACCTCCGTGCTGTGTCCCTGTCCCACCCCAACCCTCATCCTTAAATCCCCGCAGTTTCTGTCTCCATCCCCATTCCTGTCACCCCTGTGACCCCATCCCTGACCCCTGGAGTCCCAATCCCTATCCCTGACGCCCCAGTGTCCCCACCACTGACATCCCAATGTCCCCATCTCATTCCTGGCACCCCAATGTCCCTGTCCCAATTCCTGACACCCCAGGGTCCATCTCTGTCCCCATCCCTGACCCTGTGGTGTTCCCATCCCTGTCCCCAGCACCACGGTGTCCCTGTCCCCATCCCAGTGACCCCATCCCTGTCCCAAACACCCTGATGTCCCTGTCCCCATCTCAGACATCCCTGTCCCCAACACCCCGGTGTCCCTGTCCCCATTCCAGATATCCCATTGTCCCCATCCCAGTCATCCCAGTGACCTCATCCCTGTGCCAAACTCCCCAGTGTCCCTGTCACCATCCCAGTGACCCCATCACTCTCCCCAGCATCCTGATGTCCCTGTCCCCATCCCAGTCATCCCAGTGTCTCTATCCCTGTCCCCAACACCCTGATGTCCCTGTCCCCATCTCAGACATCCCTGTCCCCAACACCCCGGTGTCCCTGTCCCCATCCCAGACACCCCAGTGGCCCCACCCCTGTCCCCATGGTGTCCCCATTGTCCCCACGTGTCCCTGTCCCCCCAGGCCCTGGACAAGATCTCTGCCTACATGAGCTCGGGGCGCTTCATGAAAACCCCGATTTTCTGGCGCCTGGCGAAGTGGAGCAACACCAAGGAGTGAGGGGCTGACCCCCCCGCGCCCCCAAATCACCCCCAGAACTCCCCAATAAAGCATGGGGCGCTCCCCCTTGTCTGTGCTGTGTGGGGGACACTGAGCTGTGGTGGGAGCTGCGGGAGCCCCTCATTTGTGGGGTGACCCCTGGGGGACGTTGGACCCTCCTGGATCCTGGGATGGGGGGAGCCGCCCCCCCCTGCATCCCCCGGGTCAGGGGGACCCCCGTGGGCACTGTGGGGACCGAGGTGGGGTCCCTATCCCCCCCGGGATGGTGAGACCCCCCCTGAAGCTGAGGGGATTGAAAGGGGGGACCCCAGTGAAGATTGGTGGGGTGTCACAGAGGTGATATCCTCACAGGATAAGGGGGCTCCCATGGAGTTTGGGGGGTTGCAAATTTCCCCCAGGAAAAGGGGGAACCCATGGAATTTAAGGGGCTGCAGAGCCCCGGGAGAAGGGCACCCCGTGGAGTCTGTGGGGTTACAGTGCCCCCGAATCCAGTGGTCCCGTGGGGATGGATGGGGTGTGTCACACAGCCCCTAGGATAGGGAGGAGCCCATGGAATTTAGGGGGTGGCAAACACACGGGGATGGGGAGGGTCAGAGGTCCCCCTGTTGAGGGGAACCCCCCCCAGAAGTTGGGGTGGCCGCAGACACCCCAGGATGAGGGGGACCCCATGGACTTTGGGTGGTCACAGAACCCTCACGACAAGGGGGTTCCCATGGGGATGGGAGGGACGCAGAACTCCCGGGATTTGGGGAGCCCCACGGGGTTTTGGGGGCTGTGGAGTCCCCGGGATAAGGGGGTTCCGTGGGGATGGGAGGGAGTCACAGAACCCTCTGCTAAGGGGGACCCCATGGAGCCCGCAGAGCTCCGGGGTGAGGGGGACCCCAGGGATGAGGAGAACCCCTGGAATAATGGAGCCCCCGGGATGAGGAAAGCCCTCGGGATGAGGGAGACCCCCGGGATGAGAGGGACCCCGGGGATGAGAGGGACCCTCGGGATGAGAACCCCCTGGATGAGAACGCCCAGGATGAGGGAGACCCCGGGGATGAGGACAAACCGCGGTATAAGAGGGACCCCCAGGATGAGAACCCCCGGAATGAGGAGGACCCCCAGTATGAGGAGAACCCCCGGGATGAGAAGAACCCCTGGAATAAGGGAGACCCCCGGGATGAGGAAAACCCCCGGGATGAGGAGAACCTCCGGGATGAGAGGGGGTTCCCGGGATGAGAACCTCCGGGATGAAAGCGATCCCTGGGATGAGGAGAACCCCCGGGATGGGGGAGAACCCCGGGACGAGAACCCCCGGAATGAGGAGGACCCCCAGTATGAGAAACCCCGGTATAAGAGGGACCCGCAGGATGAGAACACCCGGAATGAGCGAGACCCCCGGGATAAGAGAGACCCCCGGGATGACGGGGGGTTCCCGGGATGAGAACCTCCGGGATGAGAGGGACGCCCGGGATGGGGGAGAACCCCCGGGATGGGGGAGAACCCCGCAACGAGGGGGACCCCGGGATGGGGCGGAGCCCGATCCGGTAAGCCCCGCCCCGCCCCGCCCCGCCCCGCCCCGCCCCGCCCCGCCCCGCCCCGCCCCGCCCCGCCC